ACCCTTCCAGAACCACGGTGTCTCACACTGAGTCTCATGCACCAACTGAGCCTCTCATAGTGAGTCTCATACTGTTTCTCACACACTGAGTCTCACGCTAAGTTTCCCACACTGCATTTCATTGTGTCTCACATACTGAGTCCCTCACACTGAACCCCACACACATCTCTCACACTGTGTCTCACACTACCACTGTGGCCAACATTGATAGCACACCTTTCTTTCTGGTTGCCCTTCTAACCACAGAGACAACCAGCAAACAGAAACTAGGAGTGGGGGTACACCTGTGCAAACTCCCCTCTGGGCCTGAATGGGTGCACCTGTCACATGGTGAGGACCAGTGCTCATCCTGCCAAGGTCTCTGGGGTCCTGAGCTGGCATCAGGTTACCAGCCTCAAATTACCTGGAGTATGATTTCTGCCCAAATTTGAGGTTTAGCCCAGTGGAGAGACCTGCCTGGCTAAGGCAGGTGGGTAAGACTGGCACATAGCTCATGGGAGGGGAGGAAGGGCTTCTGCACTCAGGCATAGTCCACGGGTCAGCCTCAACTGGACTGAGGCACACCTGGAGAACTGGTGGCATCACACCTGGGTGTACTGTGTGGGAATTCCCGAGGAGACCAGCCTGTGAGTAGGTGGGCTGAGTGGGAAGATGTGCCCTCCATGCCCTCTGGAGCTGGGACACTTCTCCTATGCCCTCTGACAGCAGGGCCCAGCTTCTGTGCCTTTGGGCTCCAGGTCCTCAGCCTCAGAATGAGATCCACCTCTGCTCCTTGTTCTGCAGCTTCAGACTTGGACAGCACTGTGCTATGAGCACCCTAGGTTTCCAGCCTACAGACAGCCTGTTCAGCTCCACAGTGCATGACATGAGCCAGTTCCCTCCTCTCTCACAGTTCTATGTGCCCTATTGATGGGGTAATCTCAACTAACACACACCCCTGCTTACCTTCTTCCCCATAAACACTCCCTGCCCCAGTGCAGGGGCAGCAAGTTAACAGGACAAAGTTAAAAGAAATGACAGGAACCGTGAGATGGCAGATCCAACCCACAGAGCTGGCATCCACTGTGTCACAACAGCAGGAAAGACACAAAGCTACAACCACGAGCTCTTCTGTACCCAGGGGAATGGTCAGTCATGCCTGTAGGTTATTGCCAGGTAGGCTAACACCGTGTTAGATGCCACAGTTCAAAACAATGTTCTCTTTATGAAAAGTAAATTGAGGAGAGGCCACTGTGGAGCCCAACAGGCTGAGGTCAAGGTCAAAAGTGACGGATGCTCAGAACAAACTGCAGAAGCCACACATCTGAATTCTGTGCTAAAAATGAGGCAAAAGGGAAATAATTATCACTACTCCTACTTGGGAGAGGAATTTCACTTAGTGGACTCAATGAGGATTTCAGTTTTGCTGTCTGTCTCTTGTCCAGGATCCACAGATCGCATCAACAACACAACACACGGGGTTCCTTCACATCCAACCGAAGCCACAGCAATGGACATCAGACAGAAGGCTGCTATCTGGCTCAAAGCCAGAGGTCTCTGCCCACCACCACGTGGCCCTAGTACCCTGGGATGAGGCTGCCCTGCTTTGTAGAGCCGGCACCCACCCTATCTCCCTACTGCCTAGAACCCAGCTCCCCTGAAATGCACCAGTGCTCTGGACTCCAGTCCCCGCAGGACACAGGTCTCTTGAGAGCTGGGCAGGTGAAGAAGCTGCCACAGCCACACAGCTATGTGCTGGTGGAAGTCCAGGCCTCACTGACCTGCTGGTCTGTGGTGCTGCTACTGGGTCACCATGGCTCTGAGGGCTGAGTTCTGGGCTGCCCAGGCTGTATGGAAGCCCTCAGGAAAGGGACTGGCTGGCTAGGAGTCCCCAGCGGGGGGACTCTTGTGCCAGGACAGGGGCCAGACTGAGGAAAGCAACTCTTCACTGTGGCACTGCACTCCTGACCTCAGGTGGCACTGTGACATTCCATGGGAAGGAGGGACTCCCTCAGACAGATTCCTTCTCATATCATTAGAACAAGGTGTTCTGAAAATCTGAAATGATGGTGAGTTACTCTGCCCCTCAAGGACACGGAAGGCCCTGCAGAGTGTCTGGGTCCTGGTCCCTTCCTGGATGGATTCCCAAGGGTGAGTGCCCAGCCTCCCCCTCTCCATATCCCCTGTGGGAAAGGGCAAGGTCAGCCCAGGTCACAGCAGTGCACCTGCCTGGCTATCATCTGGTGGCTGGGTGGGTGCACTTGGTCTCTGGGGAGGGGGTGGGTTGCTGGAGAGAGACTGCACAAAACCAAGGGGTGAGAGGAACAAGGAGGTAGTGTTGGGCCATGGGGCTGGGGCAGGTTGGCAGGAAGCAGAGCAGGACAGGGTAGGAGTAGTCCCAGGAAGCACAGCAGGGACAGGGAAGAGCCTGGGGCCAGCAGCTCGGCCCCTGGTGTGGACGCCTTGGTAGCTGGTGTCTGGGGGGTGCAGAGGGGACAGGAGGATTATTCTATAGTTTTGGGACAGGGTTAGCCTTTGCAGAGTTGATGCCAGCAACAGAGGAAGGATTGGTTCCAGCCACATCTGCACCCTGGGTCTCACTGGGTCCACCCAGCAGGTCTAGGCAGGTTTTCGGGAAATGCACTTGGTCACCAGGCCTGCCACAGCTTGGCTATCCCAGACCAACTGCACACATGAGTGGAGGTGAGATGAGGCAAGGCCCAGTGTGTGTCCCTTGGTGAGCTGGCAGGACTACAGCTGCACACCTGCCCACAAACCTGACATTCTGGCACTGAGACTGAGGACTGGGTAGAAGTGCATAACAGAAGGACAGTGCATCCCTACACAGGTGAGTTTAGGTGATGCTCTGGCATATTCATCCCTACATCTCAAAGTAGCAGTTTTGTTTGTTTCCACTGATGGATATCATCTTTGTCAGCTGTTTCACTCCATGGAGATTGGGATTGTTTCCATCTGAGCCACAGTAACAAAGTTTCTATCAGCATCTCTGCGTGCTTCTTTGGGTATCCCTTGAGATCCTGCCTGGGAAAATGTTTCACTGGCTAAAATATTTGAAGGCTCCCATGTAGGACTTTTAGAGTACCTGGCAGTTGGTGTTCATGTGGTAAGTCCTCATCTTCAGCAGCAGGATGGAGAACCCTGGCCTGTGCTGCACCAATGGCACACAGGCATGGGGACCTGACACAGTAGTCAGGGGACGTATGCACCTGTCCTGGTCTGGATCTAAAGTGTCCTCCACTGGCTCATGGGTTCAAACACGAGGCTGCTGGATGGAGACTGGATCTTGAGGTCTCCAACTGCATCTGTGGATTAATCCACTTGGATCCATAACAGGATGACATTGCTGGGGGTGATGGAAACTCAGCGGGTGGGGGCTTCTTGAAGTGAGTGTGTTATAGGAGCCATAGCCCTTCGGGACAGTGTTTTGTCATCTCCTCCCTGCTCCTCCTGTTTGCCGCAGGTGAGCTGCTTTTCTCTACCACATGCTCCCTGCTGTGACGTTCAGCCTCACCACAGCCCAGAAGCAACGCAGCCCAGAAACCATGGATTGAAACTCTGTTTTTGTTTTTGTTTTTTTGGGTACCAGGGATCAAACTGGGGTCCTTGTGCTTGCGTAGCAGGCAGCGAAACCACTGAGCTAAATCCCCAGCCCCTGAAACTCTGAAACTGTGAGCCAAAACAAATCTTTCCTCTTCTGTATTATTATTATTATTGTTATTATTATTATTATTTATTTTGTGGTGGTGGGGATTGAGCCCAGGGCCTGTGCTTGCCAGGTAAGTGCTCTACCACTGCGCTGTACCCCTGTTGTCCCACCCACCACCTTTTTTTTTTGAGACAAGGTCCTACTAAGTTCCCCATGCTATCATCAAACTTGAGATCCACCTGCCTTGACCTCGCAGTGGATGGGGTTACCTGGGTACCACCCCACCTGCCCTCTCCTCCTGTGAGTTGGTTTCTCAGGTACTGTCACCATGATGCAGATGCCTGCCGGGTCCTCTGAGTGGCCTGGACACAGAGTGTGTGGACAATGTCATGAGAGGGACTCAGGATCTCTTGGACAGCTTATCCAAGATAGATGTGAGGGAAATACTCATCCAGATGTTTAGGGAAGAGGGAGGAAGAGAAAAGAGAAGAGGAAAGATAGAGGAGGGTCTAGATGCCGAATCTGCAGCATCCAAGCCCGCTGGGGAGGGAAGATCCTTGCCCACACTGAATGAAGTGGGGGTGCTGGAGGACCATGGGCAGGAGAATGAAGGGTGAGTGTGGAGCCAGACAACCTGTGTTCAACCCCAGCACAGCCTCAACTTGCCGCTGGCAACCCCCAGGTCTCTGGTGCCTCTGTCTGCTCATCTGTGCAGTGGGTGTATTTGTCTTTCTTAGTCTCCCATGTTATCACAAAGATTAGAGATCCTGGGAAGCATTTGACCCTCAGTCAGCCCCAGACAAAAGGATGCTAGTACTGGATGACTAGAGGTGACAGGATGAAAGGATGCCTGCACATGGCCTCTCTCTGACAGCCAGAGAACACACATGCTAGGAGCAGACACTCACACAAACAGCCTGAGGGGACAGCATTTCAGATGGTCCCCTCCCTGCCACTTCCCTAAGGGTACCCCTAGGAACCGAGTGCTTCCTGGTGACAGAAAAGAGACAGGAATTTAGGGGCCTCAATGTAGAATCAAGCCGAGAGTGCCAGGAGGACGTACAGAGTGACAGGGTCTCCACCAGCCCTGTGCATCATGGGAAATCCTGAAAGGGAGGGAATTTTGTCCTCAGGGGTAGGGAACTACAGCAGTGGGATATGGGACCTCTCACGAAAACAGTGCAACACAGGAATCTGAGAGGGAACAGGGAAGGCTGTGGAGTGTGGCTCTTCATGCAGGCCACAGCCAGTCTTGCAGCCCAATGGGTGGTGTAAGCAGAGTCCCACAGCCCGCACAGACCTCAGACCAGGCTCCCAGGCTGACACAGTGGTGCGGGAGCAAGCGAGGGCTTACCTGCACGTATAGCAGGGGAAAGATCCCAATCCGGTCTCCCAGCATGCCCTCTGCCCAGTTGTCATCCACGCGGCGGATCACTGTCAGAACTTCATCCTAGAGATTCCAGAGCCGCCGTGCACAACCCAAAAGGAAAACAAGAGACTGGTTAGATGTGGAGGCCAGGGGCAGATCCAAGAAGCTGTGGGGTCCCCTCAGCCTTCCCTTCCACTCATTGTCTTGCTCTGATAAGAGTGAGCACAGCCCCAAAGATCCCCACCAGGGACACCTGACAATTTCAAATATAGTCGGAGTTTTAAAACACAGGCTCCTATGATTTATTTAATGAAAGAAAAACATATGAGATAAAAATAAATTCAGCTAAGAATAACATGATTTGTTTCTAGCTCCATGCAAGAACAAAAGAAGTGATCCATGCCAAGTCCATGATTTAGAGCTTTGTAACCCCTCATCCTTAGTTCCCCAGCACATCCAGCACACAAGCACCACGTGGGAACAGCTGCACACAGGAAGCACATGCAGGGAAGGGAGAGGAGCTCTCAGGGAGCCTGGACAGGACATGAGAGGAAACACTCAATCACACTGTCCTGGACCCAGGGACAAAGGACAGGGTGTGTAGGGCAAGAGGAAGAACCCAGAAGAGATGGAGACCAATTGGGCTGTGGGCAGAGGAGCTGGGAGGAGAGACACAGCTGCAGCAAGTGCCAGGGAATGTGAACCCGTTCCCAGCTCCCAGCTCTGGGTACCTGACCAGGGCAGGACAGCACCCATGAGGGATGCTTTCCCCCACCCTCCTGGCCACATTCCTTCAGCAGTCAGCGTGTGCCCTCAGTCTGCAGCCAGCCTCCCCCAATGCCTCCCTGTCCCTCCTCCTTGGGCATCTGCTGAAGATCAGCTGGGCATCTAATGTGCATGGAGTTCATGGAGGACTCCCTCAGATCCAAAGGTGCCACCTGCCCTCCCTAGAAGCCACCACGCCTTTGTGAAGCAGGAAGATGGCAACACAGCCCCTTTCCAGGTCAGGAGGGGACGTCCCAAGTTGGGCAGTGAACCTCCCTGGAAGCAGAAGGAATTGTGGTGAGTGGGGTGCCCTGCAAAGGTGGGGGATGGTCGATGGGGCAGAGGCGGTGAGGCTCGGTGCTGCACTGTCCCCATGTCTCCTCCAAGCCTCTGGAGTGAGGGGATAATGAGTGTGGCTCACCCTCCTTTCATCCCCAGCTTTCACGAACAGCAAGTAACAAGCGATCCGAGACTTTGGAATTCAATTGCATCCAGCACAAGGATCCCCAGTCAAGGACAGACCAGACCAGTGATAGTGGCTCTGTAAATTATGGGAAAACCCCTGGTGGCTTTGTAGCTGTCACAACACTGTGGCACAAGGCATCACTCAGTTGTCTACAGGAGGCTGTGTGAACCTACCCACCACCCACCTGACGTATGAAGGTGGAGCACAGACATCATAGATGGTGTGTGACACTTGCTGGTGAGCAACTGTGTCATCTGTGTATTTATGGCACTGTTATCATTTCAGAGCCTTCTCCTTCTCCTCCAAAGAGCACTTTACTACAAAGGCACGCATGTCAGTAGTGTCATGCTGCGGCAGCCTCACACAACTCGGGTTCACTCAACTGCAGCATTTCTTCTTGCTTTTTTAAACTTCTTTATCGGTATTGTACCTGCTTGCACAGTACAGTGACCACACTCATTGTGGAGTTGTACTTGAGCTTGGCTTCATTCTTTTCCCTCCCCACCTCCCACACTCCCTCCAGCTCTTGATCCTCTTCCCTTTTGCTTGCTCTTGATCTGATCTGGTGCTGTCGTCATGGTCCTGGGGATACCAGGCTGTGCCATATCCTGCTCTGCAAGTCCGTGATGCGTGACAGCTGTGCCATCGAGGCTGAGTAAGTCCACATTCTAACAGTCACACAACCACCATGGAGTCACCTAGCGATGCAGTCACACATTCCTTCAAGTGTCCTGTCATGAGTGACGCTGCTGTGCCTCTTCCAGTGAACACCAGAGGACAGGAAACATAGAGCCACCTGTAAGGTGCCACCTCATGCAGGTGGGAGATGCGACCCAGGGCTCCCGTCAGGTGCCGAGCGCAGGCTTCCTTGGGTCCCTCCAGCTGCATGGAGGACTGGCCTGTGTGGTGCTCAGGGATCACCATTCAACTGCAGTGCACGGACCCACCTGGTCCGAGCAGAAGGCCCAACCAAGTCAGACCAGGTCTCACTGGTCACAGAGAGGGAAAAGTAAGTTAACTGTGTAAAATTAAAACTTAAAAAGAAGAAAATAGTAGGTTAAATTTGATCTTAGAAAAATCAGAATATCCATACTATTATTTCATGCTGTTCTAAAAACTAAAGCCAAAGACATAAAAAATAAAGAAGTATAAATATTAGAAAGATGAGTATATAATTTTCTACCTACAAAAACAAAGTAGAAACTAAAAATTAGAATAAGAATTTGAAAAAAGCTGCCAATTTAAAAATAAATTCATAGAAATGACTGGCTTGCCTAGATAGCATCAATAATCAGAAAATGTGATCAAAATTGTCTAATCATTAAAAATAGTTCTGCATCTATCCCAAAACTAATTCCATAAGGATTAGACATATAGAAAGAAGCTTGATTATCCAAGAAGAAAACATGAATAGATGTTTCATCTTGAGCTGGGGAAGGTACCTTAAAATATGACAACAAAGATTTGGCTGAAGGAAATGTGAATCTTGTCTTAAAAACAGCAGTCACTGGGCAGGGGATTTAGCTCAATGGTTTCGCTGCCTGCTGCACAAGTGCAAGGACCTGAGTTCAATCCCCGGTACCAAAAAAAAAAGCAGTCACAAAACAAAAAGACAAACTAGAAAAATACTTGCAGGACACATGAAGGATAAAGGCCTCATATCCCTGCTGCACAAAGACTTTAAGCGACAATGGAGGAAAACAGATAAACACTTTAAAGGAAAAATAGGCTAAAGACAAAAATCAGGGAACTCATGAAAGAAGAAAGCAAACTGCCATTAAACAAAGAATCAATCCCAGGGATGATTTTAAACAAGAAGATTCCTCTTTTTCCTCTTTGTTCTTCTGCTCATTCAGTTGTTACAGACAAACATCAGGGCAATGTAGTGTGGGATGAGGATGCAGGAAGAAGGCACCTCCTGCTTTGGGTGGGTTCTAATCTTAGGACAGCAGCCTGGCAATGCCCTGGAAGCTGTATCATGCCTGACCTGAATGCACCACATCTAGGGATGATGTCTGAAGAAGACCCAAGTGTGAACCAAGATTTGGCTCTGAAGATGTTCCTTCTGGTGTTTGTTAAACTTCAGGAAAGCTAACACCAAATGCATAGCAGAGGGGCTTGGCTAAATGTCTGTGGCACTGTCCCCTCCATGAGATACATTCTATCTCTTAAAATGGTATTGGGGAGAAACAATGGTGTCCAGGGAAATGTCTATATTGAACACAAAATGTCAGTCCCGGGCCTGCTTCCTGCTTTTCAGCTTAGCTCCCCAGTACAATCCAGTTTCTCCTGCAGACTGCCAGGGTGAGGGGCTCCACATGCTTGCACATGTGCACAGGGTGCCTTCCCACATAGTGCACTTCCACTTGGTTTGGTCTGTCGGCTACTGGGTGACTTTGGTACAGCTCCCATCCACTCTAACAGCCTCACAGTAATAGTTTATATCAATGCATGGTATTTATTTAGTAGACATGATAATTATTTTTAAATGAAAAACTAAATTGTAAAACCATTTGCACATCATTCATTAAGTGAACATATCATTATTAATTTTACAAATATGGTCCTATTTTTGGTTAAAAAATTTAAAAATACACACGAAGAAAAAGTGTGAAAACATATATTCCAAAATTTCTATGACAGATAACTATAGGACAGGAAGTAGTCAGGCACTTTTATTTTTTATTTATTTATTTATTTTTTGGTACTGGGGATCGAACTTGGGTCCTTGTGCTTGTGCAGCAGGCAGCGAAACCACTGAGCTAAATCCCCAGCCCAAGGCACTTTTATTTTTAATTTTTGTGCTCCTTTCTATTTTCCAAACATTCTACAATGAATACCAATCAGTTTCATAATAGAACTGTCTCACAAACCAGAAAACAAACACAAGGAGGAAACAAAAGGCCTAAGATTTTCTTGTGTTTCTGCACAACACTCTATATTTTCACTTTTAACTTATTTTGCTTTAGTACAGAGGAAACTAGTTGGCACAGGCTGGGGCAGGGGGCAGAAACAAAAGCACCCAGCCTGAAAATCACTGTAGATCCCTGCAGTAAGGTAAAAATTAAAAATACAAATATTTCTCAGTAGGAGGTGAGACAGGCACCAGGGTTCTGACTGGGGCTTTTAGTCACATAGGACTCCATTGAGTTTGTCACTGTGACCTGGCTCTGTGAGGCGTGTTGACACATATCCCATTCCATCAAACAGGAGATAGGTACATCCAGCTTCCCACCTGGCACCTAAGACACTCCAAGTCGCCACTCCACCCTAAGACACGTTAAAAGCTTAACAGGCTGAAAACTAACTAAGCTTCTCAGATCTGTGGCAGAATGGGGTGACAGCAAACTCCTGCTGCCTACAGGTGATGGAGAGAATCATGGAATCCAGGAGGGCACCCAGGGATCTGGACCCCAAGTGAGGAATCAGCAGGGGCAGTCAGGGGCCTGGGGGTCTAAGGCAACCCAGACACAGGTCCAGACTGCATGAGCTTCACCTCCGAGAGGCCTTCCAGTCCTGCAGGGAATATCAGGGGAAACCTACCTGCATCAGAAAAGGAGCCACCTCAATATGCCAGAGCACCCTGCTCTTCCTCATGGGTCTGCACGAGGAGACTGGTTAACCAGAGCATAACCTGTGAGCTAAGTGGAACTAAACAATCTACCCCGACAGCCAGCTCCAGCCACCCTGGCCACCAAGGTGGAGTGGAGGATTGAGAAGTGCAGGGATCACAGCCAAGACCGTGACAGGACTCTGGAACCCCACCCCACACTCCCGACCCCCACCCGCTGAGACAGTTTATGGTCACTCATGTGTGCAGAATAACTTGTCTGGTTGTCAGGAACAAAGG